AACCCCCCCCCCCCCCCCCCCCCCCCCCCCCCCCCCCCCCTCTCCGCCTTCAACTCTGCTTCCGCCACTCCCCTAATAGCCACTACCACTAAAATACACTGCACCCGACATTGTTTCGCTAGACTGCCTGTTAACAATGCACTCACGCACACTCCCCTCTTAATAAATTTAACGGAGCATATCCTCTTTAGTGGTAGAAATAGTGGAGAGGGTGCAGGAGGGACAGTAATTGAATGCAAATAGCAAAAAGAGAGAGAGAGAGAGAGCAGTCTCTAAGCTCATTTTATGGGGATGAAGGTGGAGGGGAGCGGAGTGGAGTGGAGTGGAAGGAAATATTAGGGCGCCTGCAACAGCAATATATTGGTGCAGAGAAATGTTACATTTAATAGAAAAGCGAGGGTAGGGAGGTAAAAAAAAGGCAGAAAGTGCCGAAGGCAGGCGGTTAGATACGTCAATTAAAGTTTTAACAGTAAAATTGTAACTGGTTGGACCCGCGACGGGAATTGTGAAGTCGTTACTCTCTCCCTCCCTCTCTCCCTCTCCCTCCCCCCTTTCGCTCTATCAACAAACTCTCTTATTCCCCATCAACAAAATGCAGAAAGCTTGTAAGGTCTCTTCATGTTACAATGCCCCCTTTAATATGCACGTTCATCGTCTAGACTATAATTCCACGCATGAATTTTTGCTGCAGTTTTTCGTATTCACTCATAAGAATTAGCACAAATAGACTGTCATCATAGGTAGGCTAGTTGACTGTTTCTAGCCATATTTAGCTTAGCAAAGTGACCTTTTAAGAAGTGCGTTCGACCTTCAACTTGACGTCAATGTAAAATGAGGTCCAATTGTCCTATCAATCACCAAATTTAGAAAATCGTTAAAATCCGGTAAAACGATCGGGTAGAATTGGTGACTGCACTCGGAACATCAGAACGCTTTTGCTTAACCCTGTAGCGAATTGCTACCTTAGTAAAGCCTGACTGACTCAGAAATCTCTATGGCAGATTCTCCAACATCTAGCTAGACTCCCAGAACCAGCTAAGCTATATCCCAACCATAAAGGATACAGACGTGTAGCACGGAGCACGTTTATTCAGTAAGTATATTGCGGATCAAGTGTACACGCAGGAAGCTTAATCATGATCAGGATGGCAGATTAGGTTAAACAAACAGAGGTTAATAATTGGTCATTGTTTGTACGGTCGCACCTCCCAATCCTGGCGTGCAGGCATGCGATGACGTGTCCCACAACCCTCCCTTTATATTCATCAAGTTGTTTACTCCGTTAATTAATTTATAGTCAATTTTGACTCTTTCCAATTTTTGCAAAGTTCAAAATTTACGACTTGGCTCCACGTTTAGTGAATCATTTGTCTGACCTTTCCCAGAAGCTGGTTAAATTTTAACCTTGGCACTCTATCTTGATCAAATTTTCATTTCCTATGGCTAGGAGTGACTAGTTGTTAATAGTCCAGATATTTTAAGTACTGCCAAATTCTCAAAATGATATAAATAATTAAAGTGATTAATTTAAAGACTTTAAAGACATATAATTATGCTTTACCGCAGAGAAAATTAAATCTTGAATATTATCTTATAAGTATTCAAGTCTGAGTGTTTATTTCCGAAGCAAGCATTTTCACTCGAGCTAAAAATTTAAATGATTTATATTAGAAGTTGCCCGCTAACCAAATAACTATAAAATTCCAAAAGTAGTTAACCGAACACAAATTAATTCAATATATTTTAATAACTATTACATAATTTGCAAACCAATTTCAATGGAATATTAATGCTGGTAATAATTCTTCGTTATTTATGAGTTTGATAGGTCCAAATTCTATTGACCGATATTAGCTTTACCCAATCGATATAATTAATATTTAATTTAATTTCAAAGCTATAACGAAACCGGCAGTATCCGACCTGGCGTTATAGGAGGTTCCAAGCCCAAGGTAGCGACTCCCCAAGTGGTGGAAGCGATTCACCGTTACAAGGCCGAGACGCCCACTATGTTCGCTTGGGAAATTAGAGACCGTCTTGAAAAAGACGGAATTTGTACACAGGAAACTCTACCCTCCGTGTCTTCTATTAACCGAATAGTACGGAACAAAGTTTTGGTAAGGACTCTCAGTGCTGTGCTAGTCCTTCTATTCGTCAATAAATTCGCTAATGCTTTGAATTACCCTAGACTGATGAAACGAATGAAATGATTGTGTCCACTAATTCTGACATTTTCCTTAATTTTCTCATCCATATTCTCTCCTGTATCAACTTTTCGTCAAAGGTCTACGAGACATGGAAGATTTTGATTCAATCGATGACCGTCGGGAATGAACGAGAAATTGTCAGCTTAGTATGAATGTCACAACATATGATATTGAATTCAGTTGTATTAGTTCAAGGTTAACTGATATAGCCAACACTTTCTCTGCATTTTAGCCTTACTAAAATATAGCAATATGGAATTGACTTGCACATTGCTGGTAAAATTTATTGAGTGTTAAAAGACTAATCTAGACATTCTAGTGTGTATTAGTATTGGCACTATCATTCTGGGGTGTGACATTGAGAACAGGTGTTAATGTTGTTGCCAAATTCACCGTTTAATACATTTTTTAATTGTACTAACAGTTAAGCTTATGATTAGGAACGCTGGAAAAGCAAACTTCACTCTTGCAGCCCAACTCCCATTGGCTGGGAATGAGGAACTTAAAACAGTATTTATGCCCAGAGCAAATATGGAATAAAAAATCAATAAATTGAGCAAGTAATAGAGAGACGCTTACAAATTTCGGTGCAAATGACGGGGTTAAGTCGATAGACAAGTCAAAAAAAATCGGAGTAAATAGTGAGAGAATACGTAGGTTCTTTTCAGGGGCTTTGGATGATTAATTTTTGAGATTTACTCGTAGGTACAAACATTGTTGACCTATAGGGCACCTTGGAGTACGCAATCAGATATTTTAATGAAAATATTAGCAAAAAAGACAGCAGTAATCAAATCCTTTTTCATCCTTCACTTCTTAGGATACTCGTTATCCCGTATGCGATCCAAGTACTTCAAACCGAGACCAACCACAAGGTTCGTCACTCCTTGAGACCCTCCAAATCAATCCAAATCAAACGGCCACTTCTTCGGCAATTCTTTCACCTCTTCCACATTCTTTGCAATCAGCAGCACAGATTCAATCACCAGTCAACAATCAACAGCAACAGCAGCAGCAGCAGCAACAGATACCAATGCCACCACCATCGCAACCACAACCGCTATCACCAGTAGAAACTAAGTGCTCAGATCGTCTTCACTTGTTACACAGTCTACCACAACCCACCACCCAGACATCAGAACTTGAATTTCAAGTACCTTCAAGAGCTCCCATGTTTGGAGCCTATGCAGCAGTAACAGCAACAAATCTCTCTTCTGGCGATTTCCCGACATTTAGACAACAGGAGGATGCCTGGTATCCAGACTACATGAGCAGTTCTTCTGGAACAACAGGAGCATTGGTTGATGAAGTGGGCGGACCCCCTTCTGAGTCGCAGGTCACGCCGACTAACAGGGAGCTTCTATTGCAGCACGCACTGATGCATATTCCACCACCTCTTCAGAATGCAGCTCCTGCACCCGGGACATTCAGTATCACGGAACTGATTAGACAGAACCACCACCACCCTCACCACCAACATCCACAGCAGATGTTTTCAAGGGCTATCTCTCCTGGAGAGGTGGATGAAACAACGAGACATCAGAACTTGGAATCAATATCCTATGAACGCAATGAGGCGGTTACTACGGGGGATAGCTACAGGTTCGATCATAGTAAGTACTATGTCAAAACTATTGCTCAAGAGTAAAATGGTCTAGTATTACGTGTTTGATCATACTTCAACCAGAATTCAGTAGGAGAATTAACGATCTCTTACGGACCGAAGTAGCTTGCTTTCAGTCTTCGAAAAAAACACTAGTGCAGCTTAAACCTAACAAATGTATCTGCTTTAGGTCGAAATGACTTTTTCTTGTGTAAATGAAAATTTCCACACCCCTAAAAGGCGAAATGGTGGCTGTCATGGGACAACTGGGTTGGTGCAAAAAATTAACCCTACCAGGGTTTGATTGACACATCTCGCCCGCAATGTCAACGAGGGCGTTAGCCCTACTTCCTATACTGACTTCCTGGTTTAGTTTTATCGGCGGAAAAATATTCTGCTTTCACTTAATGCTAACCAAGTTTGCAAACGGAAATGCCTCCAATAGGAAGATTGATATTAGTGATTTAAATGTATACCAGATGCACTCATAATGAGCTGTTTGTTTGCGGCAGTTTACACTCAGAATGGGTGCGCCAAATGAGGCATCGGCAGAGGATGGTAGACATTTTTAAAGTAATTAGCCTATCAGTAGTATGTCTGTACCCCCACCCATCCCCTTCCTCCCCCCCCCCCCTAATAGATTATTTAGTTAGTTCTCTATTATTACTTTATTTAAATTGCCAGAATACATTCGAGTGTTATTATTAATTGAATTAGGACATGGTAGATCGTAGGTACCTTGAGGGCCTATGGAGATGAAGCTCCTGGGAGTTTGGTCATGTATAACACTTCTTGGCTTTATTTCAAGTTTCTGCTCTGGAAGCACTGGGAATGACAAACGTGAACTTACTGGGGAATCGTGAGGTGGGCAATCAGAACGGCCCAAGGTTCCAATGAAATCAGTCTCTTTTAGCATCTTCTCCTTCTTGAGTTCTCGTTCTTTAATTCCGCATAATCCACTTACCCTTCATCACTTACTTGAACATTTCATCATTCCTGAAGTTTAGATGCACCTTTTAATTAAAGCATTATACTTTTTGTCCCATTATATGTAAACGTAAACCTAACGTCGCTTTAACACATTGTAAACTATACTGCGTTGTATTTATCGACAAATGAATAGTGAGGAAATAGACTGACATCATAGTTGACATCAGACACGTTCACAAATGTAGTAATTCTACTTAAAGTGAGTAAATGAAGAAATCACAACTTTTTCACGTCCGAAGGCTCTTGGGGCCCGAGAATGCACCACGTATATGTAAAACGGTATTGACTTATCTATTTACCTAAGGGTGTATGTGATCTGAAATTTACTCCTTCTTTACCTCGCTACCGTTAAGTTTGGCATGTGTTTGATAGCATCAATCTAACTGTCTTCATCACGAAGTTCATTTCGAATATTCCTACAAGTAGATGAATTGGGATTAAGGGCACTTAAAAATCCAATAACAAGAAGATTATAGCTTTTATTCATTATTGCTTTTAAAACTCCCTTGAAACGAGCCCTATTTCGCCCACAAGGTACGATAAATTATGGTGGAACCATTGGACGAGAATTGGGAAGCTCGTTGTTTAATGTTGAAATGGATGGTGTGCAAATGTGTTGATACAAGCGTCACGAGATCGGTTCTCATTGGTGCCCAACTAGTGTTTTAGATAGCCGAACGCACAGGCTAATTTCTCTCAATTGAAATGGTGATGGAGACTGAATTTAAAATTAGTACGGCTCAATCAGATCTACTTGTCAGTTATACGTCCTTCATTTATTTTCCAGTTGAACAACATGGTCAGTGGTATGACGTATTGCAAATATTGCGCTATTTCCACGTCTCGAAGCCAGTGATTAAAACAGCCAATGAAAAATCGGAAAAGTTTAGGGCAATTTCAAGCATCACACAATGTTATATTAGTTATTAACTTTGCATCTTTGGAGAGTAAAATTTACTTTCGGGTTCCTGAGTAAAATTTCATGTCAATTCAAACCGATTGTCATTTGTGTCTTCTTAAAACCCCCGGAACCTAAGCACATACAGAGGGTCTTGCTAATTTTTTTACAGATCTTTCCACAGTTTTGTTTAAATGCATTATAGACAAGACTTGAAATTGGCTTTCAGTCATAAATTTACACCTGAAATAAAGACAGGTAGATTGTATTTTCCTCCGGTAAACTGCGACATATCTTCTTACTCCAGCACATAGGCATTTCGAACGCAGTACTCATCATGTACGAAGTCACACTGTTAATTTCCGGTCTTGAAGCGTGCACATTCCCTCCTATTTCCCCATAGGGAGAAATAGGGGAGTAAGTGCGAGACAGGTGTGAGAAGGGGAGGGGGTACAAAGACGTTTTCCCAAGGGAGATAGGAAGCTTCTTCTTCCCTCCAACTCGTGTTTGCATGTCTGCCTGTCTTCCAAACTGGCCACTAGCAGCATCGGCCAGCTGATCAAAGAAACTGTGCTATCTCTGTGTGTGATTAGCTATTCTGCAATTCTCTTGAGTCGTTTTTTGTATTAACAATTCAGACTCCTTGGAGAAATGTCCGAAGTCTCCCTCTATCTGTATACGTGTCCATAAACCTACACGCAGACCTCATTTACTTGCACACAATGTATTCAGCTAACGGAAATTAATCATAGAATGCCTTCCTGTAGTTGTAAAGAATCCAATGCTGCCTTTCAAAAACATCTCAAACTCCTCTTCTTTTACGCTTTCAGAGGTACTAAGACTTCCTGTAAAGGATGTGCAATCTAAAATGCCCATCAACGAAACAAACGGTCATTGTCTGCTTCAATTCTGTCCGAATATCTCGGAGGTTATAAACAATAACAATAATGGGGATGTAGTAATGAAACCGGAAAGTAATCAAATTTACTCTCCCCCGAGTTCCATGCCACAGATATGCACTCAAGAAATGAGTCAACCTCATTTACTCCAACCTCCAACTCCAATGGGAAGATACGAACTGCCTCCTCATTCCTCTCCGGATACGAGTTGTCAATACGGTAGATATATCAGCAATGGTTCCATCAGTAGATATGGCCATCTGCAAATGCCAATGCACATCTTGCCTAGTGAGGAAACTAACTCTTTTACTGTGATTTAAGCAAAAAAAATAAGATACCCCCCCCTCCCTCCCTCTGTGTACTTTTATCAGCGGAATTGTTGCTTGACTAACCGCCCCCCCCCCCACCCTCAAGTTTGCCTAATTCCCTCCCCTCTTCGATCCC